TTTGCCGAATGGAATATTGTGATATGCTCAGCTCACGAGCCATTTTCCGGCCACTGCGACGTGGGTTTCGATCAAGTCGTTTCTTTACTTTTCGAACCATTTGTGCTGAAGTTGCGGTTTTCTTCCTTCCACTTCCTTGACGTCGGGCTACGCTACCAGTATCACGGTAACGAGCGATTGTACCAGACACAAAAGATTTATTCACATTTAAATGCTGGAGTGCTCTAACGATAGCCACTTGTGGTTTGCAGCCAAATTTAAAGAAATCACACTATCACGCTTGAATTCCATCACGAATAACTTTTTTTCTGGAAAATTCTCACTAAAATGCTTTTGTATGCTTGTAAACAATATAATGAGCTGTCACTGGAATGATTTTAACAGCTGTTGGACGAGTGGCTTAGAAATGACAGCAGTCTGAATTTGGTTGCAGGTTTTGTATCTTAACCTGTATATGGTTAATATTTATACCCTACACCACATACTGGTACCTTGTCTTTGTGCATTTGTTTGTAACAGCGAGAAAGAAGCGAAAAAGACCCATAGTTACTTTTGAGGATCTTCATATAATCACTTTTTGAGTCGATTTATGCATGTCAGCCCGTCCGTACGCCCATTCATTCTTGTGAACAAAATGCGGGTCGCATTTATTATCCGATTGATATGAAATTTTGCAAACAATGCGTGTTTGGCCCAAGGACGAACTCTATTGAAATTGGTGAGAATCGCTTCAAATTTAGATATACAGGGTTGCCCATAATCGACGGACTCATCTGGCAACGCCATAACTTTTGACAGAGATGTCACATCGCTTAATGACATACCGCGTTTGAAGCGACAGTCCAAGCAGATTTTTACCATGAACCAGTACACGCCACGCGAAATAGTTGAAATTTACATTCAACAGAAGAAGTCAATTATGAAAACTCAACGTGCTTTTAAAACATTAAAAAATGCGCCTTCTAAGAACACCATTAAGCGTTTATACGATAAATTTTCGACTGGTAAGGCTCTTTCTAAGTCGAAGAGGCCATATAAAAGTCGACCAAGGCGATCGGCCGAGAATATCGCTGCCGTATGAGCCAGTGTTGAGAGGTCCCCAAGAACATCCCAAAAACGCCGTTCTCAACAGTTGGGCATGGCTCGGTCCACTTTACAACGGTTTATTCGCATTGATTTGCATTTGTTCCCGTGCAAAATTCAATTGGCGCAAAGGATGTTGCCTGCGGACAAGCCTCGTCGATTGGAATGGGCCCATGGGTCCGTCGAATATGGGCAACCCTGTCTTCAACCGATTGCGGGTTAATTGTGCCCCCAAGTGGCCAATATCAGTCCAAATGACCTGGATTTTACCATATCCGACTGAATTTAGTCTAGAAACAAGTACATCAAATTTGGAGAAAATCGGTTCAGATATAGTTATAGTTGCCATATATATGTTTCATCAGATTTGGGGTTTTAAGTACCTCAAATGCGTAGTATGCACTCCACAACAATGATTTTGGTACAAGATATCTTATAGAGCTCAGAAATACTTTTGTCACATTTTATCGAGAACGGCCAATATTTGGATATAGCTCCCATACATATCGTTAATCCGTTTTCATGTTTATTGTGCAAATAATGGCTAATATCAGCCAGAATGTAGTGAGTTTCAGGATGTACGTTTCCATTTTGTGGAACTCGGCTCCTACACATATTTTATAACATAATCCTTCTCGAAGTGATATCATGCACTCTATAGCAATGTTATTTGGTATAAAAGATTAAAATGTTTTCGTCAAGTGCCTCCTATATATTACTCCCCTCTGAAACCGAACTATAACTGCTCTAAATCCGAAGGTTGATAGGTGGTATGATCTGCTTCAAATAAATTCTTTTGTTACTGGAGATTTACTAAATATGCATAGTGGTGTAGGGTATCATATAGTCGGACCCGCCCGACTTTTAACTTTTCCTTGCTGGTCAATACTTTTATCTGTCAAACTTGCGAAACAAGTCAGCGATTATTTACAACTTCTTATATCTAAATATTTCTCTTAACGAGAAACCTGGGATGAATATGGAATTTATGATTTCGCAGAAAATTGGACATAAATGTTTTATTTTCTTGTAATTTTGTCCATGCCAATATTTTTATTTGTATTATGAAATACTACGATCGACTATATCTGGTGCCTCACACACATTTTAACATTTTCTAAAAATGATCACATATCTTATGAAAAGTGAAGCAAGTCCAAACCTGGCAGGAAATACCTAGGTTTTCACATTTATTTAGGTCCGATAATCTCAACAGAAGTCAAAATGTATCGAACATTTGCTGGGGGTAACCGTCTGATACTTTTTAACATGTTTAGCTCTACTTTAATAATCTTCTAAAATTTCTCCGTAATTATTGAAAAAAAAAAATTGAACTTTGTCGCTCAAGGTAATTCAAATTGCCCTAATGGCGAACATATAAATAACACCATTTTTTACTTCTTGTTCACTCTCTTTAATGAATATGATAGCAATTCTAATTGACCGTTTGCAAAGAGGATTCTTTAGCTACATACGTACGTATATACGAAATACGTATAACACACTGAACCATCTGATAGTATGAGCGCTTGTGCATTTTTGTACGGTAAAAAGAAAAAAAAAAACAAATAAATATAAGGATTGGTCTCCACAAATAACACCCCAAGGACATTAGCAAAGCTTAACTACGACTCACCTGGACCAGAGTAGAGTACAATGTAAATTTTTTATGAGAGAGAATCAAGAGACACTTTTAAGATGTTTTGTTCTAGTTGTTGTTTCTTGCTTCCACTCTCGTAGCTGGAATCAGTTTTGTTGCTTCAGCTGCCAAAGATGGTGGCCAACTTTAAAGTTAAGGCAAAACACCGGGAGTGGAGCAGTACCATGTAGATGTGGCCAACACTAAACGGGACACTCGGTAGCCAACTCTAACTGACTTTTACTAGTTAGCTTGGCTTTTATTACTTTGCTGAGGTTTTGGGTACTTTGTACATTTCATTCTTCACCTGCAATGCGGTTCTTTCGGTTGGATTTTTGTCATGTTTAAATGTTACTTAACATAAAACTAATTTGAGCTGGTTCTTCTGTTGAATTTTATTCTTCCTTTTTTCAGGGGGACTTGGGTGGCATTTTTAGTTACAGCATTCTGCTGAGGGAGGGGAAGGAGTGGGATTAAGACGGATTTAAATTTCGCAAATTAAATGCAACCGCATTAGGTATCACTTGTAGTGTCCCGAATTGTACACAGCATTTTGGGAGTGCTCCAGCAGTTGTTTGCCAGTATCAAAGATGGACATACAAGCTCAGAGTATGGCACAGAGATAGCAAGCGAGAAAGCGAAGAAAATAATAAACACCCGAACAAATTCGCTTACCATTGAATTGAAATAGTTAAAAGTTGCTAAGATGAAATTACTGCTATGACTGAAATAAGTGGCACATTGCGGATAAACTCCGAAGTTATAGGAGTTTATGTCGTTTCTAGAAATTGCAAATTCATAATTAATTAATAATTCGCTAAGAGGAAAATAAAAATATGTCATTTTGCAATTTTGCCAATTTTGAGCTCATTGTGGGTGAGAAATACAAAATAAACTAAAAATATAAAAGGAATGGAACACAGTTTTATGATTCTCAACTCAAGTTACAATGAAATATTGCAACTCGCATTCAATTCCGCCTCCAAAATGTTGACATTTCCAGCATTTTAGATAGAATGGTAGAAAGATGGTACAGCATCGTAAAACTACAGAAATACAGTTTTGAGGTTATGGCCGCTTCCTGCCAGAATTACTCAGTATTATACAGGGTGAGATAAAAAAACTGCAACAAAGTCAAACGCCATAATTTTCACATTTTTTCTTTAAATTTTATTGAATGAAAACAGAAAATGTCGGAAATAGCATCAAATTTTAGAATAATCGAATTGGTCACCTTTGGCACGAATTATGGTCTTCAAACGGCCAATGAAACCGTCACACGTTGCCCAAATGTTGTTCCGGTATTTTGGCCCATTCCAGCCGAAGCGCTTGCTTGAGCTGATCGACACTCTGGTATTTTTTAATGCCAACCTTGCTTTTCAAAATACTCCAGACACAATAGTCCAACTGATTGGTATCCGGAGATTTTGGTGGAAATGAAGCGAGGAACCTCATTTTGTGACCATTCTTTGGTGGCGCGTGCTGAGTGCGATGGTGCTGTTTGAAAGTCCAAGGTCTGCAGCCAAAATGTTTACGTGACCAAGGCTTTAATACAACCTCCAGAATGTTTTCGCTATATATATTTCGATAATATTCGGCATTTATTCTGATTTTTTCTTTCTCTTGCTGGGTTTACCCCGAGCTCATTTTTCAATATTCGCCGAATGGAATATTGCGATGTGTTCAGCTCACGAGCCATTTTTCGGCCAATGCGACGCGGGTTTCGATCAAGTTGCTTCTTTACTTTTCGAACCATTTCTGCTGATGTTGCTGTTTTCTTCCGTCCACTTCATTGACGTCGGCCTATGCTACCAGTATCGCGGACACAATATATTTATTCACATTTAAATGCTGGAGCATAGCAACTTGTGTTTTACAGTCAAATATAAAGAAATCAGACTATCACGCTTGCAGCTTCAAAATTTGGCACAACAATTTGCATTTGCAATTTCGATGATTTTCCCAACACTTGTTTACGGATTTGTCTAAAAATTGGCATTTGTAGTTCGTAATGGGTTTTAGCTCCGGTGGCGGAACATTGTATGTATATGTCCACGTTTTCGTATAGTTCCTCCCGATGTTCAGCGGTAATTTTTTTCAAATTTGACATTTAAGACTGGCTATAGATAACAATCGTTGTAGTATAAATTTTCTATATAGGTTCCCGTTTTGGTATGGCAAACCAAATCATATTGCTCGAGTGTAAAATGTTTGTATGTATAACTTATGTAAACACATCCCTGTACATTACAATATATATATATTTTTGTGTACTTACCCTGTCCACAGGACAAATTCCACATTGTCGCCCTGGCGCGTTTTCATTGCTTTAGCAGCAGACTCAATTAGGCTCCAAGGACTATCACAGAGGTAATCACCATAACGACCGGGTGAATGTGTGGACGAGCTGGGTGGCGGTTGTCGATCGATGCGCCAACAACCTGGAAGTAAGGAAAAAATTTAGAATAGACGAATAATAAACAATAATAACAACAACAAAACAAAATCGATTTTTGAAAGTTATAATGATTTGCTGGGGGAAGTGTTGATATTACATTCCACAGAAGGGCGGAGGGAGTATTTAATAGAAATATTATATAAAAACAAACAAAAAAAAAAAGGTAAGTCCGTACCGAACTTTAAATTTAAATTTTTTTTAAGAAAGAAACCCCTTAAAAATATCATAAAAATACATAATATAGGGGCCTATATATTATATTAATGCCTGTACAAAGACATGGACTTTAGTATGAAAATTTTTTGTCATAGGCTATTACGATATTCAAATATAAAACTGAATATAGGGAAGTACCATTATATTAATTTTCTGTCATACGTTAGGAACATTAAATACGAAATTTTAAATAATTTGGGTGTATAATGTCGCTAAAATCATCAAAATACAGAACATATTAAGGTACCTTTATATGGAGGCTATGGAGGACCTGTATAGCCAATTTTCTGTCACAGACGATAGTAACCATTAAAAGCTTCAAATTTTCAATTCGAAAATTTTCCGTGACAAAAATTTTCAAACTACCGAATATCTGGATGTACAATTATATGAGGACTATATGAAAACTTAGATCTATATTGATAGTTCGATGCAAGAGTGTTTCGTACATAATGGGGCGCGCTGCCAAATGACAGAAAATTCGGGTTAACATTGTGACAACAACATCTAAAAACTTTAAATATGTCACTATAGTTATATGGAGGATGTACCAAAACGTGGACCTATATGGTCCATTCTCAATACCAAAAGTCCTACAGACCATCTGATTATTTTTTATTTTTTTTTTAGATTTCCTTAAACGCACATAAAGATATCGCTAAATCGACATATAATTTTATGCTGATCAATAATATGTATATACTTTATGGCGTCTAAAATTAATATTTCGAGGTGTTACAAACGGAAAGACACTCTTAATATACCTTCCTTACTATGGTGGAGGGTATGAGAAGTAAGAAAGCACTTAAGTTGGGCAGGGCCGAAATTTTTATACCCTTCACAATTAGGGATCTATAGACACTGATGTGCCAGTATTCGAGGGGTACCAGACACTATTTTAATTAGGAACGTACAGTTACATAAAATCATCAAATCTCCAAATATCTGCAGGATGGCGGCTACAGAAAACTTTGAGAAGAGCAACTTATGAAATCTAATAACAAAACGTGGATATACATGAGCAAAAATTTACTACAGTGGCTGGTACTCTAAATACTGAATAATAAATTATTTCGTTAAAAACTTTACATAAATTCGATAAAATATGGAATAAGGTGCAGTTATATTTTTGGGGGCTGTATGAAAACCTGGACAATATAGACAATATTCTAACGCAGGAGTTAGAACCTATTCAGAATTCTATTCCTATTCAGAATATTCCCATTAGCTTCCCTCATCCCAAATTTCAGAATTCTATCTCCACTCATTTCACCAATACAATGGATTCAATTTTAGTACCTTTTAGTACACTTACGGAATAAATAGTGGCATATGTCAGGCTCTTGGCGCTAAGATACCACTTCGCTCAAGTGACAAGGCGAAATTAGTGCAATCCTTTTCGTGATGGAATTCAAGCGTGATAGTGCGATTTCTTTATATTTGTCTGGAAAATCACAAGTGGATATCGTTAGAGCACTCCAGCATTTAAATGTGAATAAATCTTTTGTGTCTCGTACCATCACTCGTTACCGTGATACTGGTAGCGTAGCCCGACGTCAAGGAAGTGGATAGAAGAAAACAGCAAATGGTTCAAAAAGAAAAGAAGCGACTTGATCGAAACCCGCGTCGCAGTGGCTCGTGAGCTGAACATATCGCAATTTTCCATTCGGCAAATAATGAAAAATGAGCTCGGGATAAAGCCATTGAAATTCCAAAAAGTGCAAGAACAGAAATAAAATGGGCTCAAAAGAGCTAAAGAAAGTGGTGCACTGCCGAATTTGGTTTTCTCCGATGAGGAAACATTCCTTGTCCAGCAGTTTGTAAAAAAAAATGATGGTGTTTACTGTTTACTTGCCAAAGAGGTCAGCTGAAAATGTGCACATTCTGTTGGCCACCAGAACTCAAGCGACGGCCGTGGTGATGGTGTGAGCCGCCATAACAGCCGATGGTCGCTCTCCGCTCATATTAATCGACCGTGGCATCAGAATGAATATCGAATATAATCGCGAAAATATTCTGGAGGGACACGCAAACATTTTGACTGTATACCTTGGACATTCAAACAGGAATCAGCACCATCGCACTCAGCACGGGAATTGGCCAAAATGCTGCAGAGCAACATTCAGGCAGCTTTTGACGGTTTCATTGGCTGTTTGAAGGCCATAATTCGTGCCAAAGGTGACCAGTTCGAACTAACTTAAACTTATTCTTAAATTTGATGCTATTTCCGACATTTGTTGCTTTCATTCAATAAAATTTCAAAAAACTGTAAAAATTATGGCGTCTTCGTATAACCTCCATATAACGGTACATTCCAGTATTCGATGAATAGAAATTTTCATCAATTTTCTTTTTGTCAACAATGGTTTTAGAATCGTAAGCTTTTTTCGTATTTATTTTCAGTTCTAAAGGAAGTGCGGTAATAGTATGAAAAATCCAACATTTATATGTGTGTGTACTTGTAAAATCCACTTCTGTTACCAATTATGAAATTGAACTCTCAGTAACACGCTGACAATGCCAAAGGTTTCTATTGCCTACATTTCCCCAACATATTTCAAATGAATCCTTTTGAAAGCCCACAAAACAAAAAAAATCGAAAGGAAAGTTTTTACTACATACCCATCCGCAATAAGATAGCAACAATTTCTCTTTTTTTTTGTTATTGTTCTATAAATGTTGACTGCAAATACCAACAACGGCAAGTATATTTGCAAATAATTACAATTGGAAAAAATATAATGGAGCACCCTTGTCGATAATTGCAAGAATTCTTTTTTGTCCGACCACCAGCCAACTTGTTCAAATATTAATTCAGTCATCGAAAAGTAAATATATAATTGACCTGAATGAATACGTTGTATGTCAGAACGAGTTCAACGAAATAACTTCTTGAGAGGGTAAAACAACCACAACAACATCGACGATTGATTTTATGAAAGGAAGAAAAAAAAAAGAGGTTTGTACTACTACCAAAGGGGAGGCCATTGAACTACAAAGGCGACGAGAAATTAAGTTATTGCAACAAATTGACATATATCTACAACTGAAGGGATACATTAAATTGGTCTGGAATATATAATTATTGATTGTGTGGTTTATCAGAAGGTGTGACAAAATGGACAGTAGGAGCTGATACAACAAATGTCGAATATAACAATATAAAAAAATCTATGTGATACTTTTAAGCCAAAATCAAACTTATAATACCCTCAACATATATGGCTCTTTGACATACTTTCTAGAGCTAAATCTTTCAAAATGGATTTCTATATAAGGCGAGTTTGAACATATTGTAGTGTTGTAGTGTATCACTTGGTCGGCCTCGCACGACTATATCCTTTGCTTACTTGTTAATGTATAAATATAACTTACTTCTCATAACATCTCCCTCCGTTGAATATATTGTGTCCAGGTGAAGATCTGTAATGTGCCAAAAGTAACCTGAAATAAAAAACAAAATTTGCCATTAGTGAATATTGTATATCATTTGTTACAACAAAATGTCTAAACGTTACATAACAGAGAATCGCTACAGCACTTGAAATAAGTATTTACAAGTTTATTTCGTTTATATTTGATTTATGTTCTAAGACAATCCTATGGGTTATCTAAAAAATATTCCAGATTTTCCGAAATTTTTTAAAATGATTTTCAAATATTGTACGTGAGAATCGCAAGTAGAACGGTATACATACTGATACTTATACCCTACAACGCTATGTGTTGGGGGTATTATAAGTTTCAAAAAGTATGTAACACCACGAAATATTGGTTTACCACATAGGAAAGTATATATGGATCTTCCTAGCTCGCCGAGCTGAGTCGATCTAGCTATGTATGTCCGTCCGTTTTTCTGGTCATGTTAATTTGTAATCAAGCTACAGGTCGCAATGGTCAAAATAGAACCCAATTGATTTTGGAGATGATGGCAAAATATTTAGGGGTTGAAATGGACCAAAAACAGAAAAAAATACTTGATTTTTGCAAAGAGTTAGAGTTTAGGACTAGTTAGAAGCGTACAAATTTGAATGGGTTTTAGTGTCATATTTAGCGGTTAAATATACCATAACTTTTTTGTAGAAAATACAAAATTTTCCACTAAACCGCGAATATTTTTTATCCTGGCGAAATCAAAAATACCCGAAAATGTCACTTCTGACCGTTACATTGATGCTTATATCCAAAATCTCGCATATATAGCAAAATATATACAATCTCATATATCAAAGAAGGGAATGTTAGTTAGATCACTGATAAGTAAAGAACCGCTGGACTGATTTTAACAATTCTCATCAATTCGGAATGGTCTCTTGCCAGAAAAGTATAACATCCAAGAAAATCACGTAAAAATGTGTCAATAAAAAAGTAAATATTTTTTGTTATTTTCTTTTTTCAATTTTTTTCATATTTTTTATCGCATGCGATTTTTTCATTTTGACTTACAATTTTGAATTGTAAATTTTTAAACTTTTCCTACACCCCCCAACACTATGTATTGAAGGTATTATATACAGGTCGCAACTATAGTTCGATCCTCTTGGGTAGCGTGAGGGTCAGAATTAAAGCCTACTGTTATGGAGATTTAAATTCAGGGTTCGAATACATAACAACACGGTGGACTGCGTAAATGAGGGTAACATCTGGGCAGGCCTCTATGACATTATTTCAATATCGAAATCTTCCAAAATGATTTTTGGACATAAGGGGGCTTCCAATATATTGTAGTGTTGTAGAGTATCACATGGTCGGCTCCGCATGACTATAGCTTTTGCTCACTTGTTTATAATACAGTCAACTGATTTCTATAACTGTTTTCTGTTTTGTGTTTGAAAAAAATTAATTAGTTTTGGTTGGCTTCGACTTCAATTAACTTATGCGAGGAAACATTATAAAGCCCAAGAATATTTGTGCTAAAGGTGTACTCTAAAAACGTTCACACGAAGCTAACATACATGCATACAAACATACATACATACATGCATTTTTTGCCGGAAAGTGACTTTAATATGTATGATACACAGCAGCCTCTTACCCATACAATTTGTTGATGACGGAAAACCAACAACAAGAACAACACAAATTCATAATAAAATAGCTCACAGCGGAAGACAATGCAGACCATAAGATGGTATGAGCAACAATAAAAATGAAGAATAGAACATAAGATGAAAGGAACCCAAAAGACAAAGTGTAACAAAAGATTTTCTGTCACCAAAGGATAAGGCAACCGTAAAAGAATGACATCAGTCAAGTGTGTACTGGTGTATTCGGCTGTGCGGGCGGGTGTGTGAGCATTTGCCGAGACATAGACAATTTTACAACTGTTGCATGGCATTCAGGACATGGCATTACTTTTGCCCACATATTTTCTTTAACACTCGGTTTTTTTTCTGTTTTTTCTTTTTTCATTGCATTGCCATTTCAGTGAGAGAAGAAAAAAAAGATGACAAAGGACATGAAGAGGATGAGAAAATGCTACTGTCTTTGACATTGTTATGGAATATGGTGTTCTTTGTTCCTACTGACTGCTATGTTTAAAGAATTTATTCTCTTTTACTGCGTTATCTAGTGTAAGCAATCCTTTTATACACCGTACAAAGTTTAAGAGTATGGGCATTGAAATCAAACTTCAATTTAATTTCAAACTTAACCAGATTGCTAGTCACAAACTTTATGAAGCTTTTATATGTGAACAAATAAAAAAGAAAGATGTTTCTTTGGCCCGGTAAAAATTGTTATATGCTTTAACACAATACCGATATAGGTTATTTTTAAAACGTAAACAAAAGCCTGCAATCTTCCGGTCTACGTAAGTATACAAGTTTCCGGCATTTTAAAGTATACAAGTTTTGACAAAAAACAATTTAGTTTTCAATTGAATGCCATCAAAATCAGTCCAGTTCCTAAGATTAGTTTTTATTGAATTCCTAAGTTTTTATTTGAGGAGATTAGAATGGTTTATATTCAGATCAGATTATAATTTCATATAAATCAATTTTTAGGGGTTTCCAACATTTTCCGACATTTTTTTTTACCAAATTTGATATTCTTCCAAAACAAATTGGTTTTAAAATCTTAAATCACTTTATAAGGAATTATCAATATATCATAGAGTGGTATAACTCAAAAAATGCATTTTTAGTTTGCAATTTATTTCTACGGATCCTATTTTATTTCTCCATTAAAAATATTCATGATGTAATCTATAGAACTGAAGTAGTTTCAACCGTTTTTACTTGGTGTGCTTCATGACTTAAATACTTTAAGCTAGGCTTGATCTTGTACAAAAATTTAGAGATGTGACACTCTTTGAGTAAATGTGCGATATAATGTGGTATAATGTAGATCCATATATTTTTCCGCGTCACATGCAGGAAAAATGAAGAAAATCAGTGTCTCAAATGACTAAAAAAATTAATCTAAAAAAAAAAAACGATAAAAAGGATGAAGGAAAATCATGTTCTAATCGACTAAATAAATTTGTCTAAAAACTGTTAACTTCGACCTAATTTTAAAACCACCCACCATTTTAAAATTAAGCTGTATATGTTATATCTGTCATTACCAAATTCTAAAGAAAAATCGGCTAAAATCCTCAAACTATTATGGGGTGGTATCGTAATATGAATGCTATTTGAAAACATAGGACCATATAAACAATATCCCGCCAAAGAAGGATACATTAAGCAAATGTATTAAAAAATGTGTGATTATGATTAAGATACTATGTTTTGGATAATCCTTTATATGGGGGCTTCGTGGACCTGTATACAAACTTTTGGGTTAATGCCATTGAAAAATGTGACTTAAGTCTTCCAAAAAATCAATATCGTGGAGAAACGAATTATGGTTACGATACGAAAAGCTAGACCACAACACACAATTATCTGCCAGAGATGGTGGTACCTATTACGAACTGCAGTTAGCAAGTTTAAAAAAATTCCGTAGAAAAATGTGTGTAAATTTACACAATTTCCGATTATATGGGGACTTAGTGAAAACGTGGACCTGCATCGGTTATTATCTGCCAGGGATGGGGGGCCCTATTGCAAACCCCAAATACAAACTACAATTCTTCTATACACATTCAAAGACTCAATACATATATATTCCCGAACCTACCAAGGCTGTTATCTGCCAGAAAAAGAGGGACTGATAACAAACTCCAAATTTCAACAATTTTCTGCAAGAGAAGGGACCTACTGTAAACTCTAAATACAAACTACAATGGGTCTAAAATCATACAAAGACAGGAGGAGGCTATATATACCTGAACCTGCACAGGCTATTATCTACCAGAGAAAGTGGAAAATTTGTGAACATTTAGGTAAATATTTTATCTGGCAGAGAAGGTATTGCTCAATGCAAATTTTAACTTTAAAAAATTCACTTAAAAATATGTCCAAAATTGTTCAAATACCGAAAATAGGGCTTGCGTCATATGAAAAAATTTAACCAACATGGACAGTTCTATGTAAGCACAAAACTAAGAGCACATAATGATCATATAGAGCAAACTTGGCTGATAAATGTGTCTAAAACCCCAGATATACCCCAAATATGTACCATACATGGGGCTATAACATATGGTGGACATATTGTTTGTAATGTCAGAAATTCTACTGAACTTAAATACATTTTAACACTCTTCCTGATACACCTATGAAATCTCTTCTTGTTATTTTCGAACTTTTGCGTTTTATTTAATTTTTTTTGTTGTTGCAAAATGGTCAGGCTAATCCCTTTATTGTTGTTTTTATAAAAACAACTTTTGTTTATGAGTGGAGAACGATGGTAATGTTTACCAGGGGTTTCGGAAAGAGCCACCAATCCTCATCAGTTCCCTTGTTTTTTGTCTGGGATATTCTCCCCAGAAGTTATTTTAAAAATAACTTCTATGACAAAAAACATTTTTTTTTTTATACAAGTAAACATTACCATCGTTCTCCACTCATAATCCCGAACAAACAAGCCACACTGTTTTATTTAATTATTTTAAATAACACCTACAAAGTTGCAAAAGTGAGGTTCAATAGTGAATACTAAATTTTATAAATTACACTCAAACAAGTGAAAAAGTAGTAGGTTCGGCAGGCCGAACTTTGAATATTAATACTGCTAAAATCATAAGAATATCGAATAAAAAGAATTAGCGTTATGTTGAGACGAAGACGTGGAGATGCAATTTTTGTCACAGACTATTACTAACAAAAAATAAAATCTTGAAAAAACGCAATATAGAGAGGTACCGTTTTATGGGGCATATACGAAGACCTGGACCTTCATATGTAATTTTCTATCACAGGCCGAAACACCCATTACAAAATTACAATACGAAATTTGAGACAATTCTGGTGGAGAATATTGCTAAAATAATCAAAATATCAAATATAGGGATATTTCGTTAGATGAGGCAATACGAAGACGTGGATCTGTACCCA